CAAAACTCTGCTCTCTACATGCGGTACATCACCATTCACACCTGGCCGCTTCCCCGCCCCTCCCAGCAGAGTTTGCATAGGGAAACTATAAATCTACCGCCCTTGCCACGGACACTGTGCTCAGTCTGAATGCACCTTAAGATGTGAATTGAGTTAGGTTAGTGTTAAGACTTAGCTATCAACCAGTAATGGTTAGGTTAAGGGGAATGGTTAGGCTGTAGAAATGAATGGGAGTCAATGGAAAGTCCCTACAAGGATAGAGATGTGATTGTGTGTGTGTGTATAATTATATCTCTTACATGTTCAGCTGAATGATCGGATGGATCTAGTGCCTCGTTCTGCGACACCTTAGGAGGCTCTCTTAAAGACAACAGTGATAAGGATAAGTGTTGTATAGCATTCCTAATAAACTCTACATTCCTCAAGGTTATTTATTGGAATCCTTTAAAATGGAGTTATGCAGAAATATTTACCTGCAGGTGACATGGGTCACTGCAGCCAGTTTTAATAACAGGGAAGGTATTGAAATAGAAAAGTCTTTTTCTATATGTTAAAACATATACGAGCATATAAAAGCTTACATAAGAACCTGTAATGTTCAATCTTTTCACATCCAAGAATACATAACTACTAATTTTTAAATTAACGAATCAGTAATTGGGTATTCTGAAAAATCACAGAGGATGTTGTTAGTATACCAATACTGTTCAGTTCTGAAGACAGTAAAAATGTAAATAACCTTCTTCTAAAGAGAGATATAAATATAACTAGTGTTTACTCACAAGTAAAGCTTTGCATGTGGTTGTTGGATAATATGCCAAAACTAAGCTCTTGAATCAGCAATGGCTGACAAATAGCTTTTGAAATATGACAATTTGCTGATTAGCAATCCACACATCTCCATAAGTAAACAACCACAACACAAAACAACAAACCTCTTGGGACTTACTGCATGTTGGCCGATGATCCAATGCTTCCTGATCCACTTTTTCTAAACATTTTCTGGAAGTAGACAGAATCTTAAATACAAACTAAAAAAAAGTTGTTTTTTTACTGGAAATTTTGGAGAGAATTTTTAAATACATATTCACCCCAAGGAACTACTTGTATATATTGGGAAGAAAGATGGCTCCCTCTGTCCCTGCATTGATTATAGGGGGCTTAATAACATTTTCGGTGAAGAAATCCTATCTCCCTAATGAACACCGCGTTTGATCAGGTCCTAGGAGCTAAGGTTTTCACTAAGTTGGACCTTCGTAATGCCTACCATTTGGTCCGTATAAAGGAGGGTGATGAATGGAAAACTGCGTTCAATACGCCTACCGGCCATCATGAATATCGGGTCATGCCCTTTGGTCTTACCAACCCCCCAGCAGTTTTCCAAAATCTGGTCAACGAGGTTCTCAGGGACATGATTGGCCACTTCGTGTTTGTTTATCTGGACGACATCCACATCTATTCCAAAAACCTCACCCTTCACAAACAACATGTCCGCTCCGTTCTTCTACGCCTCCTACAGAATCAGCTTTACGTCAAAGCAGAGAAATGTGCATTCCACACTGAATCTACCTCCTTCCCTGGCTTTGTTTTGTCCCCTGGACAGATTGCAATGGACCCAGCTAAGGTTCGAGCAGTCACCAAGTGGCCCACCCCGGTTGACCGTAAGCAGCTCCAGAGGTTTGTGGGGTTCGCTAACTTTTACAGGAGGTTTATTATCAACAACAGTCAGGTCGCTTCTCCACTCCACGCTCTCACATCTAGCAAGGCCAGATTTGTTTGGAGTGAGCAGGCAGAAATGGCCTTCAAATGCCTGAAGGAACGGTTCACCTCAGCACCTATCCTCGTTTCCCCCCGACCCTGAGAGGCAATTCATCGTGGAGGTGGATGCCTCTAGGTTCGGGTAGGGGCTGTCCTCAGCTAGGAGTCTGGTGATGGCCGCATTCACCCCTGTGCTTTCTTTTCCAGGAAGTTGTCAAAGTCCGAGCAGAATTATGATGTGGGCAACCGGGAGCTCTTGGCTGTTAAGCTGGCCCTTGAGAAATGGAGGCACTGGCTCGAGGGCTCCAAGTTTCCATTCTTGGTCTGGACTGACCACCGCAACCTGGAATATTTAAAGACTGCTACGAGACTCAACCCTAGACAGGCCAGGTGGGCGTTGTTTTTCAGTCCTTTCAACTTCACCCTTTCCTACAGGCCGGGGTCCAAGAACATCAAGCCCGATGCCTTGTCCAGGATTTTCGAGGAAAAGGAAGAGGACAACGACCATGAACGGGGGTTCATCCTGCCGGACATAGTTAGGTGTGCTGTTTCCGGCTTCGGGCTCGAAAGGGAGGTAAGGGACTCTCTAGGGTCTGTCCAGATACCCGAGGCCTGTCCTAAGGACAGGCTCTTTGTCCCACTCCACCTCAGACCCAGAGTCATTGAATTCTGTCACTGCTCTCGCCTTTTTGGTCATCCTGGCATCAACAAAACCCTTTGGCTCATCCGATCTCAGTTTTGGTGGCCTTCTCTGGCCAAAGACGTCGGAGAGTTCGTCTCTGCCTGTTCTCCCTGCAACCAGGCTAAGGCTTCCCGTCGCCCCCCTTCTGGACTGCTTCGACCTCTGCCCATCCCTTCTCGGCCTTGGTCCAGCCTTTCTATAGACTTCATCAATGGTCTCCCCTCGTCCGACGGCTACTCGGTTATCCTCACCATTGTGGACCGTTTCTCTAAAATGGTCCATTTGGTCCCTTTACCCAAGCACCCCTCGGCCAAGGAGATGGGGTTGATCCTGGCCAAGGAGGTGTTCAGGTTACATGGTCTGCCTTCTGACATTGTATCAGATCGGGGTCCCCAGTTTGTGGCCCGTTATTGGCAGGAGTTTTGTGCCATGCTCGGCATCTCCGTTAACCTCTCCTCCGGCTTCCACCCCCAAACTGACAGCCAATCTGAGAGGATGAATCAGGAGGTTTGAAACCAAGATCCGCCTCTTTTGCCAGTCCGATCACTCCAAATGGGCTCTGAATTTACCCTGGGTGGAGCATGCTAATAACGCCACGCCATCCTGCTCTACAGGTCTCTCCCCCTTCTACGTGGTTTACGGGCTCCAGCCGCCAGTCTTTTCCACTGAGGAGGTGAAGTCCAGAGTCCCGTCTGCCCGTCTCTCAGCCATGAGGTGCCAGCGTGCTTGGAGAAGGGCCAAGAGAAAATCAGGTCCGCACAGCTAACCGCCGGCGAGTCCCTGCCCCGCAATACCAGGTGGGAGACAGGGTCTGGCTTTCTACCAGGGACCTTCCCCTGAAGGTCAACAAGAATAAGTTGTTGGCTCCGTGATTTATCGGGTCATTCACCATCTCCAAGGTGGTTAACCCGGTGGCGGTCCGCCTCCGCCTGCCTTCTACCATGAAGGTCCACCCCACGTTTCATGTTTCCCGGGTCAAGCCTGTCAAAACCTCCAGTTTGGTTATTAGGGATTTCCACAGGGCCCACCCGGACCAGCCTAGGGCGTCTGGAATCTGCTCTTGAGGGTGGGGCTCTGTAACGTTCCTGGCACTGGAGCTGCTAATTGCAATCAGTGCACCTGTTCTCACTCCACCCCACCTGCTTAAAGGCTCCTTCCCTCCAGCCTCCAGTGCCAGAATGTCTCTAGCCAAACAGTGAGAACTTCCAGCCTTATCTGATTGTCCGTCTGCCTGTCTGAACCTCGACCTGTTTTTTGAGCCAGCCTGACCCCTCTCTGGATTTTGTCTGCCCGCCTGAGCCCTGCTCGTCAGCCTCAGTGATCTGGACTGTCTACCCGTGTTCTGACCCTGCCTGCCTGTGAGTAACGGAGATTGCCTGCCTCTTAAACTGTCTTTGCCTTTTTGGATTGTGGAACTGGATCTTGACTTGGAACCTCCCCTGGATTCTCCCTTGGATACCTCAGCTGGATTAAAGGACCTCCCCCTGGTCAAGACCCGGACCGAACCTGGACAACGAACACTGGATTACCCCAGCACGGACTCCGTCCTTTCCTGAAACCAGACTGTGCCCAACCGAGTCTTCCCGTGGCCAGGTTAGTGACCAAGCCCTTAACTCTCACTTCTGTCTGCCTCCACTGGTCACTAACCTCCACTCTGTCTGTAGGAGCTGCCAGTTGCTGAACGTGAACTGCACATCCCAGGAGTCCGTGCCGCCCTTCTCTTCAATAAAGACTGTTAAAGTTTCACTGACCTGTTTGCGGGTTGTCTTTGGGTCCATCCTAATCCATTACAGTCCTCATTCATTACAACTACAGTAACATACAACTTTCACACTGCTTCCTAATTTCTTTCTTTAGTCACATTTTAGCTACAGTCTTTACACATTTAGGACACATTAAATGTTAAAGATGCTTTGAATGGATTATGGGAAAGGCTTTTTCATCTACATTCAAATTATCTACCTACAAATTATACTAAGCAAACTGACTCCACCATGACATGGCAAAGGCTGCATTATGATGTGGAGATTTTTCAGCAGGTACAAGGAAGCAAGGACAAATAGGACAAGGAAATTTCAGGCCATACAACTAGAGACAGTAGAGGAGGTTTACCTCCCAGCAGGATGATATTTA